AGTAAAAGTTATAACAAAAATCCAAACAAAAGTTTACGAAGTGTAGGATCAACAGGTGATCAATCTAAAGAAATTTTTGTTCTGGCCAATCAGCCCCCGGCAACTCTTCAAACTTCTGGTTTTGTTTCGCTCTTATTGTTTACGTAAACACTAATTTGCTTTCTTTGAGTGTCCTTTCCCAGACATCTTCATTACTTCTTCTTCTCCTTTTAATTAGTCGCATTAACCCCTCGCAGGTTCTATGGTCTTTCAACAGTTCATTTATTTCATTGGCCTAATGAATAAAGGGTATTTATCTTTCTCTGTTTCTGTTTTAATAGACGCATTATTATGTAATTTATTATAATTAATTATGAACTGACATATTGACGGTATTATTTAATTTTAGTCTTTGCATTACATAGCATTATAACATTAGGTGTACAGGGAATTTTATTTTCCTCCATATTTTAATGTTTAAGGACCTTAAATAAATGGAGGTTGGTAACTAACATGCATTACGGTAATTATTGAAGTTTTATTTCGTGGGTTATTGGTAATATTGTTAAAAAAAGGTATTTACTAGGGTATTGAAATTGTGATTGTTTTCAAGCAAATGAAAATCTATTAATTAGTTTCCAATTTCCATCACTCAGAAAACTCATCTTTTGTCAAAGTTCCAATAGAACACTGATTTTCCATACTTGCAAGTTAATCGGACACAACCACTCTGTAATCTCAATAAATAATATTACTTTGTTATGAAATTCTGTGTTTTGGGACTCATTTACGACTTCCTGTGGGAACTGGAGACTTTATCAGTTTCCACAGGAAATGAGTTATTCCTTTTCAAAATACCATAACAAACAATTTTTATTGATTTTGTTAAATTAAATCTGAAGGGAAAATCAAATGTAAGTCCTCAAAATTGGGGTAATGGTTGAGCTTATGGTTTTTTTGCGATTTTCGTGATACTTTAACTTAGCTTAAAAGTAAATATCAAAGATAAAATTCATACAGCAGTATAACAACCATAAGATGGGACTTTTGGTAAAAGTTTCAGATTTTTTTAAACGGAGACTCAAAATTTGAATTTTTCGATAAAATTTAAGTTTTTGAAAAATTATAACTTTTAAAGGAATTTATATATATATTTATCCATTTTATATATTAATTAATTTATTTATTTTAGATTTGAATTTGGGTTGGTGTAAATATTACAATGAAAAAAGCGAGAAAGCCTGGAAAATTTGATATACTAAAAAGAAAACTGAATTAACACTGTGCTGCATTTCTTGAGCAATCGTTGAAAGAGCAGATTGGTAACCTATGGAAACACAGGAAAGTCATATAACACCACCAAGTAGTAGAAGTTTGGTATCCATTGAATGGATACCAAACCTGGAGTGACAGTCTTGCAACAATTCAGTCGCAGAGCAGTCGCTGGCAAATTGGGTTCGGCAACATCGGTTGCAACAGTTGCGCGACTGTCCCCAGACTGTTTCCTTGGTGTCCAATTTAAAACAATGTTGAACATTTTAGTCGGGCAACTGTTGCGCGACTCAAAATCGCCTGTGTGCGCCTGGCCTAAGATGACATAAGGTCCTTTTATTTTACACATAGCATATACTGCATTCTACACTCTGTGGTACTTTCACGACACATATCACTGTCAAGGCTTCCCCTACTAGTCAGCAGGCGCCACTGATATATCAGCACATGCTGACCAGCATCACGTGACCTATTATCAGCTGCTGCTCCAGCATCCATGACGCTCGTCGCCTGACCACATGTACAGGTCTACAGCTGTTTATAAACATATACTTTTGGATAGTGCAGAGTAGACAATCCATGCACAATGTGTGCACTCGTCTAAGGGATTTAGATTCCTCCTCGACTAGTCGTTAAAAAAATCTTCGAAAATCAAATTTTTCAATAAATGTTTTTTTAGGTTTATGCATTTCAACAAACAGAGGCAATACAAAATCCTTTCACACTAAGTATACATAGTCATTTTTACATAAATTTTATTTTATTAGATTTTTGTCCTAGAACAACAGTAGATCAAATATAAACCCATTGGTGATTGGCAGGATTTGAACCCGGGATCCCAGGGAACGAAGTCCCGCGCTCTACCCCTAGACCAGCTCGCTCCCCCTTATTATTCACATACTGTAGTAGTCACTCCTTAATACAAATTCAGCAAAATTACCATTCAACCTAAACTAATACAATTGTTTGCAAACCATTGACTTTGGGTACTGCAAGAAGTCTTCTCATCCCATTGTAAACATGAAGCTTTTTTGACATGTGACTCATGTTTGGTTGCGCATGACTGCTCTGATGTTGACTAAATGATTTCTCTTATTTTGAGACAGTGCGATTTTTACCCTTTATGGGGTTTCATTCTAGACTCCTAGTTAGCTAAAGTATTGTATTATTAATGTTAGTATGACTAATATTTTTAAATTGGTATAATGTATAATTGTATAATGTATAAATAACAAGGAATTAATGAACCAATAAATGCAGTACATACGGTACAGAATTGACCTTTAAATTATTTTACACTAATCTCTAGTAAAAACGAATCTGTGAAGAGTATGTTTAATACACGAGAAACGTGTAATGCTTTTGAAATTAATTTCATGGTTCACCATTGGATATTTTAGCGATTATTAACGCCAAGAATGAGAAGTCAATTGATGAGATTATCTACTAAAAGGATCGCGATGCCATTAGATGAAAAGAGTTTTAAAGTTTTAATAAGAAAAGGTGCGATTGATTGGCGCAGTTTTAAACGAATTAACTCTGCTAATAAAGTGGCCAACTTGTTGCTTCAAGATGTTTCATAATTCCATCTCTTGGTTCGTCGATGAATAAATAGTTTTATTTTTCACCAAATGTACATAATACTCACGCATTTATTTAGACAATGATTTATATTAGGAAATGCATTTTTTCATAAAATGGTTACGTCATTTTCTATTGTTGTTTCAAATTTATAGTTTCTTTCTAGTTTTTACTACTTATTGTGTATAACCTTTTGTAACGTTGTGTATTGTTATTCCTAGTAGCTGAGTGGAGTGCTCACCTGTATATCAGAAGGTCGCCGGTTCAAGTCTGAGAAAAGCTTAATTTGTGATTCGCGTCTTGACTTAACTGTCATAGATGAATGGGCTATCAATAAATGGTCTTGTCCGGGAAACAGCTGATTTTTTGTCAGTAACAAAGCTACACAAGACATCTATCTCCATTCTACCATAGATAACACAAACGCTTATTCTACGATTCTACACTAACTCTGCAAATCACTTTCAGCTTGAAAAACGCACTTTTGTAGGAACATAAAATCGTTGTTTTTTTTGTGGGGGAGGTTCTGGCGTTATTTACGTCCTCGTAAGGTGGGGGGGGGGGGGTTTCTGGATCTTGTTATCTAACGTCAACCTTTTTTAGACCGTTCGTTAATTATTGATATCCAATGATAATGAAATCTGGTTGCAGAATTGATAAAACCCAATCATGTTGCGTTATTTCCCTTTGATAAAGAAACTAAACGAGTACTCCCGAAATTTCTAAAACTAAAATTATTATAGCTACACCTAGCAATATTTAAAAGAATAACTACATTGAAATCAAACAATAGGTACGTTTTATTTAGTATATTTTTAATTTTTAAGACTATAAATTAACAAACACACCCCAGGCTCGAATCGGCGACATCCCCCCCTCCAATCGATTCACGAGATTACCCTCTATTCCAACAATAAGTAGCTACCCTTCTGCTTTGTGTAAGAATGCCAGTGATCGTTATTCCTTTATCATCATACACCCCTTCGCCGTTTGTGTAGACAGGATTTTGTATAAATAAATAAACAAAACTACGTAAATTAATTTAAAAGTTTTAATGTTCAAGAACCCAATATTTCAACGTAAAAACTTCTATAATTTCAAATGATATTGTCACACGAGTGTCTTTGATGATTATTATGGTTATATCTTAATATTACATTTACAATTTAACTGTTACTGTAACAAAATTAATTACACAGATTAATTATATTGATCTATATACATATGTTGTTATACAATGTAATACTGTATTAGTTTTTAATTGTTGTTTCTACATATTGTTTGTTTAGTTCATTACATGATTTTGTATTGTTATGAATTATTTTCGCACTCATTTAAACTATATGACATTTCTAGTACGGTATGTACCTTGTTGAACTATTAAATTTAAGCTAATTGTTCAAAATATAGTTCTTAAACGTGAAACTTTTTTTCACGATTGATCTTTCATTTTTACAGCTTGTACAAGGTGGAGTCTTTATCTTTAAAAATTCAACTGAATATTGTAAACGAAGTATATCCTACAAAAACTAACAACAATCACAATTTATTTAACAGCAAGCAGTCACTTAAAAAAAAAAAACGATGTAGTTTCACAATTTCAGTAGAGCTTACAGTGTCCAATGAAACTTACTCATGAAGTACACTAACACATGCACAATATACTTACACTATGATTAAATGACATTACACCACACCATGTTTGTATCAAGTGGTTACCCGTAATTATTGTAAAGCTTTGTTACCAACTGTTGTTCTGAATGTCATATTTTCCATTTCATCACACCTATCGATTACATCGTAGCCTACTTTGTAAGCATACATTGTAATTATAAAGCAATCTAATGGGCTTCCCGTTGGTATAAATAAATGAATAACAGAACATTTATTTAAGTGGTTACACTTGAACATTTTACAGTACTGTTATCAATATTGTTCACAAAGATATACTTCAGAAGTTCAGACAACAATGTAATACGATGTAGGCCTTCGCGTACCGAGTGAAAACCGACAAAGGCCCGCCTACAATATCCCTATGACGCATTCCGCAATCAATATAGCACAATTAGATTGGTCAGCGCGTGGGGGGAGGGGAGGGGGCAGGACAGCGGTCAGCGACACACCATTGGTCAGCGGCGGCTCGCGAGTGACGCTAGCGCTGCGTGCGGCAGCGGCGGCGAGGCGAACTACGGTGGGGGATGCTGCGCGGACGCGGGGCCAGTAGTGGTCGGTCGGCCGAGCCGAGTAGTACCGAGCATAGCCGAGCGCGCCACTCGCGGACACGGTCATACGACGGTAGCCAGTGGCAGTGTGAACTGTGACGTCGTTGTGGACGGTGGCGGACCTTATCAGTGAAGTGACAGTGTGTACTTACCATGGAGACCGGCTTTAGATAAGGGAGACATCCAGTCCACCACGATGCGGATTAAGATGCCTGCAGTGCGAATTGCCCAAGGTGAGTATTTTATTGTGTGTTAAGAATTATTGCAGACATGGTGATGTGTTGTCATTTAAATGTACTGTTTATACTTGGACTTGGTTGATAACAGTGAATATTTCAAATAAAAAATATTACAATTTTTTAATAGTAAGCCGATGTTTGTAGGATATAGACTGGACTTAAAACAAAAAATGATAAACTATAGGCCTACAATTATTTTAAAAATACTTGAGACTTATCAAATTTTATTCTTATCATTCGTGTTGGTGCTTTACACTACTTTTTATGGTGTGACATGGGATTTTTTTTAATTAGGTAAATATTTTATTATACAGTACGACCCTTAGTGCAACCGATAAGTTAATGTTCAAGTAATACTAAATACTGTAAGTAAAAAAATACTCAGTGACAACATTTAGATCTCATAGTATTGGAGCTTACTCATATTTTGGATAAACAATTTTTCGTCTTTATTCGTATTCCAAGTTAAAACATTATTTAAGATGGAATATAAACATATCAGCTTACAAAACGCGTCTGTCTGCAACCTTTGTCCACTGGAAGGGAGGATCTTAGAAAATGAATTATGCAAAATTATTAAAAGTGGGGGAGGGAGCGCGCAGCCCCTAATTAACAGAGGCGGAAGCTACACATTTTTGCGCCGCGGCGCGCCGTCAAAGGTACATACTCGCACCGTGGTTCCGTTCTAAAAGTGTAATAACTATAACGTGATGTGATAATTTAAATAGTCGATTGATTAACAAGTATATCGTATGTATTTGTCGTATTCCGTTTCAAGAAACGTAAACAATCGTGCTGTAACTAAAACTGCTTATTTATCATAATGAGTAAAATGTTTACAAGGTTTTACTGTAAACTTGGAATGAGTAAGTAGATTTATTGTAAATTTGAATTTTGGATCGAGCACGAATTACAGTTTTGATAACGTAGTGGTATGCTTACCAATTGTATTAAGACAGTAAAGTACATGTTATAGCTAAGTAAATTTAAACATTGGTATATGAAATACATGACAAATCAATATAATAATAACATAATAGTAATAAGTTTGTTGTATACAATTTTCTTAATAGATTTTTAACGCATAATCTGCGTCTTAATATTAGATACTTAATGCGTTGTAATACATATATTTATTACTACTGTATTAGACCCTGTCATTTTATAGTTTGATTGCACTTATAAGAAACCCAAACGATTTTCCATACAATGTTTAAATACAAGTAGTTTAATGTTTGCTATTAATTTCCCACAACTGTCGTTTAGAGTACCGGTAATTTATTCGGAGCGGAAATCTTAGTCATAAAATATATCTCAGAATATATTTTATACAGCTTAAAATTTGTTTAAGATACAGTGATTCCTTTTAATTGGAGGTGTCAAGTAAGATATCAAATATTAATCCAGGTTCTCTCTATACAGTACATAGGTAGGCCTACAGTACTTCATACTTCTCATAGCTAATCAAAGATTTATTCAACAAGCAAAAGCGCCAATTAGTTTCAATTGAAGATACGGTAACTCATGGTATTAGCAACTGTAAGAGCAATTTGTGACATGTTATCATTTGGTAAAAGTAACGTCATTTAATTGTGTTCTAATTGTAATTTAATGCATAAGAGTATACAATTCTAGTGTTAATAACGTATTCATATAAATGAAAAGGAATTAATGTGTGTAGGAACGGATGAAGCAATAGATGTATTTTATATCACTGCTAATTTTCAATTTTAAGATGTGTGTACTTTTATTTTATTATCTTCCTAAAATTTAAACCGTTCAACCCAGTGTAAATTATTTTCAAAGTACAGTGACATTTTCTTCTCCTAATTTTGTACATTTTAAGATTAGTTTCAACTATCGAATTCAGAAACCCTTCTATGATTCAGTTAATATTTAAATAGCCATCTTATCCTTTACCGTCCTTCTTACCGTCAACAAATGAAAACAAGGACCCAAGCACCTCGGCAATTGATACTTTGATGATCTACAAAAACAACCCCTTGAAGAACCAGTTAGGCCGACGCTCAGCGCGTGTAAGGGGTCGGCGTGTGCCGCAGTCTTCAAAGGGTTGTACGGTAGAATGACCGCTTGACCGACTATGAAAACAGCCCCTAAACCGCACCCTTGACTGACCCTTGGGGTGCGAAGCGTGTCTTAATCTGTGGTCAAGATTAAAGGGGTGAAAAGAGTTTAAAAGTGTCACAGTTTGAAATGTAATAGGTTTTGAAGATTTTTTTACGAGCATGTGTTGTTGTTTGAGCGGTTGTATTTTAAATCACAAGTAAAAAAGGATTTCAAGTTTCGGTATCTGTAATTTGATTCTTTCCAATAACCTTTTCTTGCTAAAAGGTTATTTGTTTTCTTAATCGTAATGAAAATATCATCAATACTGAATTAAACACAGTTAAAGGATACACCATGTTGTTATAACATTTATTTCTGAGATATTAATTTAAGTCTATGTAAATTATTACATTATGATATCTTAAGTCCCAGTGGTAAAATAAAGTTATCGATATAATAAAGTATCGACGAACTATTGACAAGTACGCAACAATAATTTAAAACCTTGCCTGATAATCGATCGATAAATAATTTCGAATCATGTGATTGCTACAGTGGACATTAGGACATTAACAACTGTTTACAACAGCTGATTTTTACTCTCTAGGGACTGAAAAGGCTTTTTACTCCTTAAGGGATTTTTTCTACAGTATGGCGATATTTTTCGCTTACAGGCCATTACATTTTGTAATGTATATGTCAACCTTTTGCGCAGTAGTGATAAATATTAAATTGTTGACTACTTGATTATGTTAATGGACGTAGATACACGTACTGACGTTATTAGGCTACTTTGACGTCTGTTACACATTCCAATGTCATTAATTGTACTAAAATTGCTGCATACGTGTTATACATGATGCGTTTGCAAAACATATTTTTGATAGCTTAAATTTGTCCGGAAAATATTCCAAAATATTTTTTACCATCAAGTGGTTAAGCTCACAATTTTTATGCCTTAAAATTTCAAATTTCGACGTTTTAGTCGACATTTATATACCGTACACATACATCGATTTGGAAAAATATTATAATACAGTATAATGCTATTAATTGGTTCAGTTTACAGATTAGGTGTTTTCTAGCATTGCAAATCAGTTTAATTCGACAAAATCACTTCGACAAAAACTTCATATTTAATATTTTATTATATTTTGTAAAATCGTGTATATTTTCTATATTTTATCGTAAAAAAGTTTTGACCAATGGAATGAATTATTAAAATCACGAAAATAATCATATCGAGTTACAATCTCTCATATATCTTTCTTTCAAACAGTATGTTCTACCTTTCTATATGTTTTCCTCTGTTTCTAAAAAATACTGTCATTCAAGTTATCTAGTTATCTGCATTGACATTACCCTCTACATAGGTATGTGAACGCACCAACTGTACTCACACCATCACTATCTGGTGCAGTTTCGCACCATTAACTGTTTCTCGTTACAGACACGGTTGCATTCTTTATATCATTTGGTCTTATCGAACTTATCACAGAGCTTTGTGCCGAGTTAACGGCGGATATCGGTTGTGATAAGACGGTTACCCGATTGTGATTCAACGGTTAATGTTGATGCTTTTCAATTATTGTTTGAGATAATTTACCCGTTTATTGATAAGATAGGTCAGGAAGTTAGGAAGTTCTTTTAGAATTATGTATTTACCTGTGTATTTACAAATAAACACAAAATTATGCTGAGATTATTTTTTACTCACCATTCACTGTTTGTGATGCACAGTATGGCAATTGGTTCGATTGCAAGTAAATTGAAGTAGCATACTTGCAATAATTATTCGCAAGAAGAATTTACGTTCCATTGCAAAAATTTTAATCCTGAGGCGTTTCTCGTCCCATTTCGGAACAAATACTTACAAATATTTAAATTTTACAGTACGCTTGGTACAATTTAAACTGTTTACGCACTTAAAACACAAACACAAAATCATCCTTGTGGAAAAAACGGCTTTGATTTTCCATACGGATGAAAAATATTATTGAACATAGATAATAACTTACAGTATCTTTGGTAGGTATTACTTAACTAAATAATTCTTATTGATCGAATTAAATACTTTTTCTGGGTACTTGATCGTATTTTCGCCACCAGAAATGTTGACTTTAGGATTTATTTGAGATATTACTTTAGAATTGTTAACACGATTTTATTCCGTATCCCTCTGGCACAAAACAGTACAAGCTTAAAATTCATAATGGTAATAATTTTAAAAAGTATATTAAGTCTATTTAAATACATTTTGAAGTTTTATACTTAAACCCCTGGCTAAAAGAACTATTTACTACAGTTTCCAAATCATCGAACAATACATTTAAATGAATTGCTAAGTAATTGTTAGTATCATATTCAAGAGATCTTCATAAGATGTACAAAATTTCTAGTTTCTAGTTGTACAATTAACTAATCAACAATTTAGGATCATGCGTTCACGCGTGTGCCGTGTCGTGTGGAGACCAGTTTTTACATCACTTCCGAACTGGTCCTGCTCATCTACTGTCAAATGAATAATAAATAGTGAGGATTTCGAACTGCTGCTGTATTAATTATTGTTCGCCCAAAATTTAATATTTTCGAAGCGAACGTATATTTACCTTAAGAATTAACTGGTGCAATTAATTGTGATGTGAAATAGAGTTTCAGCAGATTTCCTGGTATTATTATGGTTTTCAGGTTATTTTAAATACGTATAGTAAAATAATACTTTAGGACTTTAAAGAAACTCGTGCAAAATGACTTATTTTTTATTCAAAACACTAATTTAGCTATGTATTCCACTGGTTTACACATCAACGCATAAGAAAATTAATATCGAAGAGTCGTAAAAAGGACAATTCACAATTTGTACCGTAATACGCATTTACGTCAGTACTGATGTTTACATTAAAAATATTGTGTAGATTTCCTAAACT